TGCTGCAGCTTTGACCAGGAGGGAACATGCTATCCCAAATGATGTTATTAAACCAAAGTACCATTTCATCTGAATGGCAGGAGTAGTTCTAGCATAAAACAGACAGAAAGAACTTTCAAAGCAGTAGAAAAGTCATGTCCACACTAAGTTAATCTCCCACAGGTACGCAGAAAAGTATAACTTCTTCAAGTTCCTCATCAGGGTATCTGTCCCCAGATTTTCCAAACAGAACAGTTACTCAGAGTCTAAACATCCTTTGGCTATGCTGATTCTAAGTTCTATATTTCTTGGCCGGTTTCGCAGGAACAGCTCTTCACTGCTAGCTCCTCACATGCTATCCCTTACAGCCTGAGAAGTTTATTATAAGATGTTTGATGCAGACTACTATACATCCTTTCTACGTTCTTCTTCCTGAACATCTGCTATTGAACTAATCACCTACATCTAGTAATTAACCTGGTACCAAACACCATTAATCTCCAAACATACCCCACAAAAGCAAAAAGCTAAAACATCCATAGAGATCTAGCTGCTATTTTCTTTCCTTAAATCATCTACAATAGGGAGGGATCAGACTGTGACTGTATGTTGTTTCTCCTTTCTTTTCACAAAAAGAATGCAGAAACGAAACCTCAGGAATAAAAAATAAAACCCATCACAACTTAAAATCCTGACTCTTAAGTGCAAAGATCCAAAGTCTCTGCCCCTGCAAGCTCTCAAGCTCCACCCACAGGGTAGAATGAAAAGATAAAGTAAAAGGTGAAATTGAGAGGATGGGAAGCATCACTGCAGTTTTCAGAAACACTTAGAGCATTCTCTTTCCTGGGATTCTCAAGTCCTGTCACCTCTGCTCCATAAGCCTGTGCAGAAGCAGCCACCATGCTGAGCAGAAGTATTAAACATGATTATCGGTATCTGCCAGAGTGGTGTAGCACCTCCATTTTACACATATTGCAGCAGGCGTAGGAAGGATATTGGGGAGACAGCCAGCTGTTCAGCCGTGTCATTTCTTGGGTCAAGGACACAGCAGGTGCTTGGTCACAAAGAACCACACTTATACAGTTTAATTAACATTTGATTTGTTTGACACTGTGTCTGCTCTAGTCCTGACTCTAGTCTTCTGCCTGAATTTTGGGGATAAAGGCAGAGTCCTAGGCAAAGCCTTCAGACTGGCGACAGCACTGCTGCTGCCCGCAGTCCTAGAATCATAGGTTGGAAAAGAGCTCTAAGAACATCAAGTCCAACTGCCAAACCAACACCACCATGCCTACTAAACCATGTCCCAAAGTGCCACACGTGTTTTGAACACCTCCAGGGATGGTGACTCAACCATCTCCCTGGGCAGCCTATTCCAATGCCTGACCACTCTTTCAGTAAAGAAATTTTTCCTAATATCCAATCTAAACTTCCCCTGACACAACTTGAGGCCATTGCCTCTTGTCCTATCACTTGTTACTTGGGAAAAGAGACCAACACCTGTCTCACTACAACCTCCTTCCAGGTAGTTGTAGAGAGCAAATAAGGTCCCCCCTCAGTCTCCTACTGAACACAGTATTCGAGATGTGGCTTCCCCAGTGCCGAGTACAGTGGCACGATCACCTCCCTACTCCTGCTGGCCACACTAGTCCTGATACAAGCCAGGATGCCGTTGGCCTTCTTAGCCACCTGGGCGCACTGCTGGCTCATGTTCAACCAGCTGTCAACAAACACCCCAAGATCCTTTTCTGCCAGGCAGCATTCCAGCCACTCCACCTCAAGCCTGTAGCATTGCATGGCGTTGTTGTGACCGAAGTGCAGGACTTGGCATTTGGCCTTGTTGAAACTCATACAGTTGGCCTCAGCCCATCGATCCAGTCTGTCCAGATCCCTGCTGGACAAGACATTTTAAAGAAGAGATCCCCACAGGAGCTACTGGGTGCTTGCTGGGAGCTAAGAAGCAACTTTATTCCTGCACTACTCATAAAAGAAGCTGGGACATAAAAAGTCAAGTGTTGGAGGGATGAAGGGAAAGACGAGTGGCAAAAATAGGGATCCTGCCTGTTCTACACACAAGCAGTGATAGCATAGTCAACTCGACCCCAGTGAGGTTCCTGCAGAGAGAATTGCATAGGGAAAAGTCATATACAGACTGCAAAACAGGAATGATTTCCCAGAAGCAGATGACCTTGCGGATTAGAGTCCCAGGCAGGAATCCTTGCAGGACCACCTTCAGCAAGTCCCAACCTGCCATCAAATGAAGAGCCTTTCCATTCTAGCACTGCAGACCCAGAAAAGCAGCAGGAGTACCTCAGCATAAGTGGGATTAGGGCCTCTTTGCTGTGTGCTGGTCACAGAAGCATCTGCAGAATATGCCCTACCATCAATCTCCTTCCACCACAAGTTCCCTACCTGACACTGGGGGAAAACTTCTTCCTCCACTGAATCTCAAGGAGAAATTAAGTATTAATTATCACCAAGCTCTGCATAAAGGCTTTTTAAATTCATGGGCAGTAATAGGACAGAGATCCTCTGCCATTCCTATCTGGATACTAGAAGAAACTAGAACGAGATTCTTTCCAAGACAGATGAAAGATGCCCAATCAGTCTCACAAACTGGACTGACTACCTGTACCATATACTGTGGCAAAATCATGAAGCAGTAGACACTTCTATGCTCTTATTTCCAGGTTTCTCTTATCTTTAGCTCTGAAAAGAACAAAATTTTACTGAACAAGGAAACAGCTATCTACCTAGCCTCACTGGAAGCAAGCAGTTGGCAACTTTCCAGGGAAGGGTGTAGAACTAACTGCTTGTGCCAATAGCTGTTCTGTGCACGCTTCACCAGAGTGAATGACAGTGTCATATTTGTTGACAAAAAATTATGTTTGTATCAAAATGCTAAGTGTGAACATGGTTTTAGGGCATCCCCTCTATCTTAAAGAGGAACAGAAGCAACAGACTACAGAGTTCTACAGTTCACAAGTGCTTGCATTGGCACAACCAAATTTAATCTTCACACACTGTATGTGGTGCAAATCCTGGCCTGCAAACCGTTGCCTTTACCTTGGATTTACAGGGACCTCAGATCCCAGTCTGAGAGTCACACAGCAGAAGGATACCCAAGGTTCAGTTCTAGGAGAGTGAAAGTGAAATGCAAAGAGCAGCTGTGGTATTGCTAAACACAGATCACATGCGGAAAGCGTCACTGCCCCACATCAAGTATGGAATATTTAGTGCTTAGGGCTTACACCTATCAGTAGGGTAAACAGGGTGAATCCTGCTGGAAGTAGCACAAGTCATAGCTATTGGAAAATCCAGCTATGGGGAGACCAAACCATTCTCATCTCCAGGTATCCTACCTGATGCATAAGAACCCTCTGCTGTCTGCTCCAGAGCAAGTTACCAGTGTCTATTAGAACACCATTAAAGACGATCATTATTAACAAAGTTTTCTTCTTCAGAACCAGTTGGAATAATCTCCCCAGGGAAGCAGTGGACTCCCCAACATTGGGCACTTTTAAGACTGAGCCGGACAGGACGCTGGGCCATGTTGTCTAGACCGTGCTTTTGCCAAGAGGGGTTGGACCAGATGATCCCTGAGGTGCCTTCCAACCTGGTATTCTATGACTCAGTTTTTTGCAGGACATGCTCTTGATTAAACTCATCACCAACAACTTCATATCTGAAAACTACGAAGCAAGATCAACAGAGTGATAGTCTGGCCAAAATGGTTCAGGTTCTCAAACAGAATATGAGAAGTTCACTTCAATACCCAGATCCTCTCAGAAGAAAGATTGCACTGTTATCCCTTGGGGAAGCTCTCTCGAGATATTTCCACTTCAAAATCTCCAAAACCTAGGATCGAACAAAACTTTCAATGAGGCAAAAATTCTGCCACGCAAAAAAACCAGCCACCTGCCCAACACCACTTGTGGCTTAGTTGAAAGGAAAAAGACTTAAATCCTGTCCCATTCCCCTTTACTGCACAAGGCAGCAGCACTAACTAATCCAATCCAATGGGGCAAAGAGATAAGATTCCTACAAAAAAGCCACAATACTAAAAGTCTTCTTAGGATACAGTGTCTTGTTCACACACGAAAGCAGACAAGTCAGTATGCTCTCTGTGCTGGCCCAAATATGACAGGTTGCAGGAAGATCCCTGTAGTCCTAGAGATCAAGGATCCTGTTCACAGGCAAGTATTGTGTGTGCCAGGCCTCAAAAATAATTGGGCATGCAGTAGCAAGGTCAGTGTGAGTCTAAAAGGAAAGGAGTTCAGAAGACAAATGACCTCTGCTTGATGCAGCATAGGTGCATAATGTGCAGACAAAAGGTTATCAGAAAAACATTTTATTTAAAACTCAAAAAATTCCCCCCTCAAATACCCACGTACTTTCTGCTAAACTTATTGCTCAAGCTAGCTCTCCTGTGATACAGCTCTATCCCCATGGCCTGGAGGGCCAGAATTACTCATGCATCCCTGTCCTTCCTCCATCCGACATCATTTGGCTATGTTCAACTGGTCCCAAACACCACCATTTAATTCCTTCCTCACTATGCACACGGAACATGGGAGTTCACCAGGCACAAAGGCTCCTTCTCACTGGGACAAGTCTACAGACTTATATCTAGTCATCTGCTCCCGCCACAATGGGAGTTCCTACTTAGCAGAACCATAAAGAAAGCATGGGAAGGTATATCCACCTTCTCTTTCGAAGCCAAAGACTAAACAACACTGAAATCATCCCTGAACAGCTCAGCCTGCAATGCAGACATGTCCATGCTCATTCTACAGCTCATGGTCTACACTCTCAGTGTACAGCTTTCAGGATTCCTTAATAAGCTTTCTATAGCATTTCCCAGTCTCACCACGCCATTCTAATTTCACTGGGCTCGTCTTCCAAGTTTGCTCTTTGTGAAACGGATATTGTCTGTTTCTTGTGCAGCATCTACAGATCCACACTGTAGTAGAACAGCAGGACTCTCTCGCTATGATCTGGCTCTCCTTTGCATGGTCACAGACAGAGATTCTTGGACCTTTCTCCTAGGTAGCTGTCAAGCAGGTCAGGTAAAAACAGAGCAGGGGGCTTTGTGCTTCATGTCCAGTCAGTGTTGTTGTGGGGTTTCAACATCCTCTTCCTCCTCCTCACCATGTTCAGTGTGGTGCAGCAGCAGCTCCAGATCAGGGTCAGAGCTGGCCTCTTTGTGTAGCTTCAGTGCTTTTTCACCTGCATGCAGACAGCCCATTTAGTGACAAACCTGCTAGAGCAGTCATCAAACCTGGCGCTGGCAAGGAGCTGGAACTAGACAGAGCTCCTAGTGACGCTACAAGAATGCCTACAGAGAAACAGAAAGGGATTTAAAACAGAATCACCTTTGGAATTCACAGCTTTGAGAATGACATGAAGGGAGATTCCTGACAGACAGACAGCAAAGCCCAGCCAGTTCAAGAGACTAAGGCGGTCTCCCAGCAAATGCGTGGCGAGGAATAAAATGCAGATTTCCTGTGAAAACAAAAAAACATGACAAGTGGCAGCGCAGGACCTGACGAGATATGCATGAGATTTTACAGCTCAAGCCTAGATCAAGATGCCAGGCTGCTAACTTCCATCAGCACATTCTTCATGTGCAGAGAGTTCTAAAAACAGTTTCTAGAAGCGGAACAAACTATTAAACTGTGATGTGGGATTTTAAGTCCTCTGACTGCATAGCTTGGCTACCTGGGCATCCTGTGACTTTTGCATCAGACAAATTTCACGTTACCACTCAGCTCAGAAGTATGCCTGCCGGATTCCTCAAAGGAGGGGGTAATGTGCCAAACTAGGTTAAAGAGATAGCTCAAAGCTTTGGTTTGTTCATCTCCAGGTCTGATACAAGAGCATGCCCTTCTTACCCCTCCTCCCTCCAGCACCATTCACTGCTCATGAGCCCCACATGTTTTAGTCTATTCCAGATCCCACCAAACTTTGGACCTTAATGTTATTGTTTATAGAACAGCGACTAGTCTCTGCCCCTTACTCTCAGGGACCAAGGGACTTCACTGCAGAGACTGCAAAGCAAAGCATCAAGCTCCTGCACAAGGAGAATGAAAAAAACAGGAGATGATTTCTAAGGAAGTTCACACCACATGAGGCCCACTAGGGATGACTCAGCACTTGCCTTCTAGTGTTAAGACAGGAATCATGCCTTACCTTAAAAATGCCAGCAATGGAAAGGGTGAGGCTAGATGTTCTGGAAACCAAGAGGAACTCAGAAAAGCCTAGACCAAAGGCAAGAATTCCACCCAAGAACAGCTTCCCTGGCAGAGAGCACAGCATTCCTGCTTCATGGAAATGGAAGAGCTTCTCTGATATGGACAAAGGCAGGCCTAGGAACAAGACAGTGAGTAGCAGAGTACCCTTCCCAACTCCCAGGACTCCTCACAACAAGATGGGGGTGAGCTGCTCACATTCCAGTATCAGGAGGATGTGGAGTCAGTTCTTCACAGCCCTTACTTTCACAAGTATGGGAGTGTATTCCTATACACTCTTTAATGTTCTGCCAGCATAAGGTATATCTGGGTCCTTGTAAATCCAGGTCTCTAACTACTTTATAAAGTTCACAGCTGTTTGCTTATCTAAACAAATCATCTCAAACAACAAACTGCCAAGGATTCTCCCCAACCACTCTATAAAGCTATCTCTGCTTTCTCTAATTAACTCACGCACCCTCAAACACCGCAAAGAGTGGGAAGAGCCCCAGGAACATGAGCGGCTGCAGGTGAAACATGATATCAATGGGGTTCTGGAGCCCTGAAAGAGGAGAATCAATAACAGACCAGGTAGCAACAATCCAGGGAATAACATAGCTCCTAGAGTCTTTATTCGTACCATTCCTAGACATACACCTTATACGTAATGCACATGCCTGTGCTGCTGCAGAGGCCAAGCTACTTTCATTACCCATCAATAGATAACCCCTGCCCCACGTTTCAAACACTGCCCCTTACACAAGATGTTTTGTTTCTGCAGCAAGGGCTACCACCTCCTTATCCCCCTCCCCATTACCATCATCACCACCCACTTCCTAACACCCTACATACCCAGTTCAGCCTTCTGCATAAGTATCTGCGTGAGAGTCCAGCGAATACCCCCGAGGAAAGAGGCACACAGCACCAGCATGAACCCCTGTGCACTGAACTGTGTGGACTTGTAGGTGAACATGAAGAGTCCCCCAGCGATGAGCAGAACCACCAGCAGCAATGTCACCCTCTGGATGAGAGCAAACACAAAGTCACTACAGATTCCTGGAGCTGAAAAGAGACAGACACCTCCTTCCTTCAGGTCTATCCACATAATTGCATTCTTCTTCTACTTGTACATGTACTGCCTATTCCCCTGGGCCTGACCTTCTCCCTCCCTAAAGCATTGCATTGTGCCCTTACCATTTCTTCCAGCTTGAAGAGCAGTGAAAAAAGCAGGATGAAGAGAATGGCAGAGGATTTGGTCATTGTGTAGCTGTAAGGACCAAAATACACTTGTCAGTCTCCTCCAATGTAGACCCTCCCAGCAAAATACTATTAGGAACCAGATCACCCACTTCTACATTGCCACCAGCAAGCTATCATGAACTCTGCATGCCAACCCCACCAAGCCATACACCCGTTCAAGAAACTGACCCTGACAAGCACTTTCTAAACCACACCAGATGACTCCCAAGGAAGACAGCGTTTGTACTCACAGGGAGACAGTGACGTATAGGAAACTCCAGTTACTCAGCCCAATATCCAGGGAAGTTGACAGAGCTAAAGAATCAAAGAAAAAATCCTGAAGTTAACTGTCTTCCACTACATTAAAAAAAACAAACAACAAGCCCCCACTACTTGACCACAAACACAGAGAGCAGAGCAGACCCAGAAAAAACCACACGTTTTCCTCAGGTTAACTCTTCAGCACCAACGTAGCTCCGATCTCCTCAGCTCTTTATGTTTCCGTCCTGTTCCCTGCGATTTAAGCTGTGCTTAGCACTGCACTCACTGACCATACACAATGCATGTGTATGTTGCCCTCCCCGTGACTGAAAGCCATCAGAGATTTGCAGCCTTTTTCGAATGTATCAGAGCATGGTAACTGGTAAGTATGATGGCCACTGCAAGAAGCCTGAAGAAGCAAGTCTGGCAATAATCTTCAGCACAAGCCATTAATCCTGGTGCAGCTCTTGTTACAGTCTACTCTCCCTTGTATACAAGCCTCCTACCACAGGAAACAGTGGTACTGATCCAGTGGCGTGCTATACGGAAAGGTAGTGTTGCTACAGATGCAGAGAAAGCACTTTTCAAGAAACCACGGGGCATGTTATGGAAGGTATTGCAAACCTTGTCAGAGATCTTAGACCAGCTGCTGCTCTGTGGGAGACAGTATGACAGCAACTGAACCAACATAATATACAGCCAAAGAACTGCCGAAGTATCTAGAGATCTGTGCTTGAGTAGGAGCTTCACTCCTTGGTCTCAGCTACAGCAGTTTTGTGTGTCGTATCATAAAGACCAAGTTCCAACTAGAGAAAGCTCCTGAAATAACATAAATGCATAGCTTGATACCAACGATGGTGAGAAAAAATAACTTGCAGGGACAACTTGTGCAGGTCCTGTACAAGATTCTCATCGTATGTTCTCACGGGCCAGTGTCTCCTTCAGAAAAATACGTTCAGTGTGGCCACCCCACATTCTAGCCAGCTTTTGTTACGACCGATAAAGATCGCACGCCTAAAGCTTTAACCAGCACCTCCCCCTGGTGAGGACACACACGGAACGCCCGCAGTGCCGGACACCCACGGCAGCGATGCTCGCCGCCCCTCCCGCTTCACGCCCACCCCACGGGAGGCG